GAGGTTTGTCCAATATATTCCGACTGGAATTCCAAACGAAGATGGTGAGTTCCCGGGAAGGAACTATACAGTTGGAAAAGTCATACAACAACTGTATGATATTAGGAAAGCTTCAAACCCCAAACTTGCAATGACACTCAAATTGCTTATGAATTCGACATGGGGATATTCCATTAAGAAACCTCAAGAGATGAAGAGTAAACATTATGAGAAGGTCGACAACTTTGTTGAAAGGTTTTCTCCTTTTGTTTTGAAGTACGAATTCACTCAAGGTCAAAGTGGCTTAGTAACCACATTAAAACCTATTGTCGAACATTGGTCTTACCCTCAGTTCGCAAAGGCAGTCCTTGACAACTACAATGAGTTCTTCTCCGAAGTCAAATCCAAAGTCAAGGTTTACTATGAGAACATTGACGCACTCATGACGAACGAAGAAGGCTATAACAAACTCATTGAAATGGGAATGGTCGGTGAAAAGATGGGTCAATTCAAATTGGACAAAATTTTCACCGAAGTTCATGTCCTCTCCAAGCGTAAGTACTGGGGTGTTAAAGAAGATGGTGAAATAGTTAAACATTGCATGAAATAAAAAATTTTTATTCGAATTTGAATTTAAATGTGGGAATTCTTGGGAACGGGAAAGGCTTATTTACTTGAGGAACAGGTAAAGGTGGTGGAGGTGGTGGCAACCAGTCCATTTTATATTCCTTCCTAGCTAATTTCCGTTTAATTTCATGGTCGCCCTCGGAGTCTTTGAATCGGACAGGTCGAGTTACACCATTCTTGGTCTCAAACTCATATATAACCTGTTTGTCTGTATTTTCGTCGACTATGGCACGAGACACGAACATTGACCAAACGGACAAAAAGTGTCATTTCGGATGGTCAAGCAGCCAATCGCATTCGAGCACTTCGAAGAAGCCTTACGTTCCAAGGGAGAGGGTGTCTGGTGCAAGGCAGAGGTCATGAGACTCTACGAGCAGTACATCCTCAATGCCTGGGAGGACAAATCGTCCTTGAATTGGCAATTCTACCAACTCCTCTGGGACGACCTCCTACGCAACTGGGAAGATAACGAAAGAGCCCAATTCAAAGGTCGGGAGCTAATTTTCCAAATTACCATTAATAGTGCCTACTTATCCAACTAAACACTTAAATTTACTTGGGGTTTCCCCCTAAAATATTTTTTACTCTTAGAACCACTCGAGGTTCTCCTTACGGTTGTTGAGCTTGTCACCGTCAATGTGTCTGACCTTCGTCTTCTTGCCTGGATTTGGAACCCATTGAATTGCGACAAGCTTGCCCATGGAGTGTTGTGCATGAAAAATAGCGTGACTTCACTTTTGACAAAAAGTGACACTATTTCTGATGGTTTTGTCATTTATTTGTCAGATTTATAAATGGATAATAATGCTGTAAATCAGATATTAATTAAAAATATTTAAGATTTATGTTCGAATTGAAAAGCAAAATGATATTTTTTTAATTGAAAAACGTTAATATCTGATATTTTGAAGTTTTTAATATTTGTTAGTATCTTAAATTATTGAATGCATACATTTTTTATGTTCTCAATTTTAAAAAATTGTGAAGAATTTAGTTTTTTGGAGATGGATGTTTAATATTTGTGAGTGAGAATGCAAGCAGGAGTTTGGTACTTTAAGGCTAGGTTGAGATAGATTTCCCATTATATTATCTGTGAATATTTTGCTTGAAAATTCAAGATATAAAAATATATTATCAAAAAATTTTATATTTTTAAATACAATAGGGTGGAAATATAGTACGATGAGATAGCAATGATATATTTTATAATGGGAGGTAATCTGAAGATAAGTAGCAAATTTTATGCGATTTTGATTGGGAGTTGGAGGGTGTGAGTACTATAGCATGTAATAGTATCTCACACCCTCCAATTCTTCCTATGGCGCCGAAAAATTTTTGGTGAAATGCGACGACATTTCACCAAAAAATTTTCGGCGCCATATAGAGAACTATAGTCTGCGAGGTACTGATTCTATCTATGTACCTCGCAGACCATAGTTCTCAGCCAAAATGTCAAAAATTTCGGAAATTCGAAATAATTTTTTTTGAGAAAAAATTAACCGTTTAACATAATATTTATAATATTGCTTATTCAATTAGACGGATTAAAAATTATATGTTTTCTTTTTATTTTTTCAATTCAATTATTAGCTGACTCGAATTTGTATAAGTTTTTTAAAATAGATATCAAAAATTAAATATAAAAAAGAAAACAATTAAGAATATTAAAGTAAATTCTTTATTAAGAAACAATAAAATGAAAATATAAAACTTTGTATGATTTGAGTGGATATTGAGAGTAATTTGTGAGTGTGCTTCAGCTGCATATGTAAGATTGTTCGGATTTAATTAAAAATTGTAAATTTTTTGTCTTTATATCAAACTATTCGACAAAACTTTGTATGATTTGAGTGGATATTGAGAGTAATTTGTGAGTGTGCTTCAGCTGCATATGTAAGATTGTTCGGATTTAATTAAAAATTGTAAATTTTTTGTCTTTATATCAAACTATTCGACAAAACTTTGTATGATTTGAGTGGATATTGAGAGTAATTTGTGAGTGTGCTTCGGCTGCATCCGCTAATTCCTTCTTCATTCTTAACATTCTTTGTTTTATTTAGAACTATATTATCTTATTTCTAAAAATAATACTGAATTTTTTAAAAAATCCAAATGTAATAAATGTAAGTGTTTATTCCTTAACTTCCTTTTTGTGATTTTTTGAATTTTCTTGTTTTTGAAATTATTTGTTAATCTCTAAGATTTTTTTCGAAGCCTGGTTCAGCGCAGAGATCTTTTGTCCATTTGGGGCCTCTTTCCCAGGCCTCAAATGGAGTCAATTTCTCCCCAAAGAGTTTGAATAATGCGGAGTGTTTCCATACCCTATTATACTGGGAAACAACATTGGGGATGAACTCAAAGACGTTCACTCCAGGGTTTGTCTTGAAAAGAGTCTCCCAACTCCTTTCAATTTTTCCATTTTCCTCTGGAGAGTACGGATGAGTTTTGAAATGTTTTATATTGAATTCTTGGCAAACCGCTTCAAAATCTTTTCCAATGAATTCTGTTCCATTATCTGTGAGAATTCCATGTGGAACTAATTTGACTAAATCAATTGCGTGACGAAATACTCTGGCAGTATTTTTCATTTCTTTTGTATCGAAAACATCCCAGCAAATAATGTATCTGCTTCTGTCATCAAGAAATGAAATTAAATATTGAAGGTTACCGTTATCGTCCTTCAGAAATTTCAAATCAGTATGCCACAATTGATTAACATATTGAGCAACGTATTCATGTGGATGTTCGTCGATTTTCTGATGCCTGTGAAATGTAAACAAATGTTGTTGATTGAAAATTTTGAAAGCATCGTTGAATGTAAATCTTTCGACTTTTTCGAAATATGATTCTTTGATCCTTTTGTATCCAATGTCATATTGTGCTTTAATTTCCAAAATTTTGTATACATCTTCCTCAAAAATTTTTTTCTTTGGTCTTCCTCTTTCTTTTATTGGATAGCCGAGTAGTACGAAAATTTTTTTCAAACGTTCTTTTCCTATTGAAAGTGTTTTGCCGTATCTTCGAGAGTTACATTTGGATTATTAATGTATTCTTGATATTTTTCTTCAATTACGTTGAGAACCTGATCGGCGGGAACGGTTGGGAGTTGAAAAGTTTTAAGATCTTCTGGGTTTTCGAGACGAACCAAGATGTCTTCCATTTTTTAATTTGTAAATTTTTCAATTTTTCAAAAGATAATTTAAAAATACTAGTTATTTGATAAAATTTGTTTATTTTAAATAAAACAATTTTTTTGAAAAAATTATATTAATGATTTGAAGGCAAAAGCCAAAAACTTAATAGATAAAATGCTCTTTCTATATAGATCAACTTCTATTATTAAATTTATAAAAATGGAGAGATTTTGCAAATTATTTTCTAATATATTATATTTATAATCATTTTATTTATCCCATTAATAATTGTGAACCCAGAACATCTTCCCTTCAAAGTGCCAAGCATCAACACACATTCTCACTCACAAATTTTTAAAACTCATTGCCAAAAATTTAAAAAACTCACAATTTTTTTTAAATTGATAACCCTCAAACCGTTTCCAATCAATAATTTGAGAGTCTATATGATAATGTAAAAGTTAAAACATTCAAGTATTTAAGTATTTCTTTAAAATATTAAGTTTTTTATTTTTCCAATAAAATTCTAATATCAAATATTTTTATTTAACGATTAATTTTATTTATATTTTTATAGTTTTTTTAAGAAAAAATATTGTTAGGGTTTTATGGATTTTCAATTAATATACAAGATAATTCATGAATGTATATATTTCCAAGTTTTTAAGGATGCAACACTTTACATTTGTAAACTGTCAAAAATGAAGTCACGCTATTTTTCATGCATTACAGCTTTGGAGACAACAGATGGAAAAGTTTACTTCACTGACCAACAGTTCATTATAGAACATCTCATTGACTTAGAGTCGAAATATTCTAAACTTTACAACAAACACAAAAAGTTGAAAGGAAAACAAAAACAAATGGCATATGATATTTATGAAGATGTTGACGACACAACTGTTCCTGCAAGTGAAGTAAAGTCAGAGGAACCGAAAAGTGACGAAAAACCGATAGAAGAAGAGAAACCAAAAACTGAAGATAAACCAAAACCAAAGTTTAGTTTCCAAACTAAACCAAGTCAACCTTCATTAGCTGGTATGGGTTGGCGTCAAAGACTTATGGCAGCAGGCGGTTATGTAAAGTAAAGAAAAAATATTTTTTTATTTTTATAAAAATGCCCCATATAGAATGGATAGAAAGTCTGCTAGAATAAAAGCAGAGTTACAAAGATATGGTTGGAGAGTTTCGAAGAATTTTAAATATAGGAAGGGAAGACCCATAAAAGTCTATGACAAATTGTCTGGTCTTCGCTACGAAATGGATTTGGAAACAGCACGTGCCAATTATCCAAACAGACTAGAGAGGTTAGAAGAAGAACGTCTTATGGACATGCCTTTCGATGTTAGTGAACCTCAAGTTGAAGGACACGACGGCTTTGCCAGATTCTACTGGAAACATGACGAACAATTGCATCCTTTGAGAAGGAAAAAAGGAAAAGGTGAAGACGCACATGCTCCCATGGAAAGAACAAGATATGCATATGAAAAGTATCGTGAAGTTAGAAGTCAAATTACATCTGGTCGAACCTTTACAGTAAACTTTGACGAAGGAAAGAACAAAGAAGGCTTCATGGGAGTACTTGCTGCAATTCAAGACGGAAATAAGAAAGGACACAATCTCAGATTGACCATAACAGATTTGGATGGTCACATTTACTATGCACATGGCAATGAACAAACAGCCGCAAAACTTCTTGACGCTTTCAAGACTACAAAGAGAGAACAAATGGTTGACTCCGACTCAGACATTTTGAATGCAATTGAAGGAATTGCAAGTGTCAAGTTCGAATGGTACCAACCTAACCCTCAAGCAGTCAGACAACATGCTGGATACTTCCCCTTCATAAATAAGTCTGACATTGACTTGACAAGGTATGGAATTTACAATTCAATTGAAACAATTGTCAATGAACCTTGCATTCTTACATGTCTCAGGAACTCTGGTCTTGTTACAGATGAGAAGATGAAGTATCTTGAGTCATGTGTGAAGACAAGGTACATTCTCAGAGGTCAATTGGCAAAAATTGCACCGTTGGCAAATGTCAATATCCGAGTCAACATACCTACAGCTAAAGGTTCTTCACATGACGACTATGTTGTTGACAAAGACTTACCATGGTTGAAGATTGTAATTGTCCACAACCACTTCATGTTGAACGAAAGTCTTACAAACCCATTCTTTGGTAAAAGTAAGTGCAACATTGTCAGAGCTGTCAACATTCTTTTCAAGAAAGGTTTGTTGGAACCAATTCCAGATGACAAGCTGACAGAAACTTTTGTACCAAAAGACGAAACAAACTTTTCATTGTTAGCAAGACCAAAAGTTGTTCCAGACAAAGTTCTAGTACAAAAGAAGTACACGGTTCCACAAGGGGTTGGTATGTTCGGATACCAACCTGAACCAGAAGAACTTCCAATGAGGTTGCAAGAACTTCAAGATGCTATAAACAAACTTCCATTGAGACATCCAATTGACGTCAAATTATATTGGAGAGCATCTGAGTTAGGTCAGAAGGTTTTATATGAAACAGGTTGCTTCGACGATGTTTATGAGATAACAGGAGAAGTTTCTCAGAAGATAAGAGACTCACTTGAATTTCCACAAACTGGACCAATTGGTTGCAACAAGTTCGACTCAGATGAAAAAGATATACTATGTCGACCTTAACGCTGCATACATGAGGTTTGTCCAATATATTCCGACTGGAATTAAACCACGAAGATGGTGAGTTCCCGGGAAGGAACTATACAGTTGGAAAAGTCATACAACAACTGTATGATATTAGGAAAGCTTCAAACCCCAAACTTGCAATGACACTCAAATTGCTTATGAATTCGACATGGGGATATTCCATTAAGAAACCTCAAGAGATGAAGAGTAAACATTATGAGAAGGTCGACAACTTTGTTGAAAGGTTTTCTCCTTTTGTTTTGAAGTACGAATTCACTCAAGGTCAAAGTGGCTTAGTAACCACATTAAAACCTATTGTCGAACATTGGTCTTACCCTCAGTTCGCAAAGGCAGTCCTTGACAACTACAATGAGTTCTTCTCCGAAGTCAAATCCAAAGTCAAGGTTTACTATGAGAACATTGACGCACTCATGACGAACGAAGAAGGCTATAACAAACTCATTGAAATGGGAATGGTCGGTGAAAAGATGGGTCAATTCAAATTGGACAAAATTTTCACCGAAGTTCATGTCCTCTCCAAGCGTAAGTACTGGGGTGTTAAAGAAGATGGTGAAATAGTTAAACATTGCATGAAATAAAAAATTTTTATTCGAATTTGAATTTAAATGTGGGAATTCTTGGGAACGGGAAAGGCTTATTTACTTGAGGAACAGGTAAAGGTGGTGGAGGTGGTGGCAACCAGTCCATTTTATATTCCTTCCTAGCTAATTTCCGTTTAATTTCATGGTCGCCCTCGGAGTCTTTGAATCGGACAGGTCGAGTTACACCATTCTTGGTCTCAAACTCATATATAACCTGTTTGTCTGTATTTTCGTCGACTATGGCACGAGACACGAACATTGACCAAACGGACAAAAAGTGTCATTTCGGATGGTCAAGCAGCCAATCGCATTCGAGCACTTCGAAGAAGCCTTACGTTCCAAGGGAGAGGTGTCTGGTGCAAGGCAGAGGTCATGAGACTCTACGAGCAGTACATCCTCAATGCCTGGGAGGACAAATCGTCCTTGAATTGGCAATTCTACCAACTCCTCTGGGACGACCTCCTACGCAACTGGGAAGATAACGAAAGAGCCCAATTCAAAGGTCGGGAGCTAATTTTCCAAATTACCATTAATAGTGCCTACTTATCCAACTAAACACTTAAATTTACTTGGGGTTTCCCCCTAAAATATTTTTTTACTCTTAGAACCACTCGAGGTTCTCCTTACGGTTGTTGAGCTTGTCACCGTCAATGTGTCTGACCTTCGTCTTCTTGCCTGGATTTGGAACCCATTGAATTGCGACAAGCTTGCCCATGGAGTGTTGTGCATGAAAAATAGCGTGACTTCACTTTTGACAAAAAGTGACACTATTTCTGATGGTTTTGTCATTTATTTGTCAGATTTATAAATGGATAATAATGCTGTAAATCAGATATTAATTAAAAATATTTAAGATTTATGTTCGAATTGAAAAGCAAAATGATATTTTTTTAATTGAAAAACGTTAATATCTGATATTTTGAAGTTTTTAATATTTGTTAGTATCTTAAATTATTGAATGCATACATTTTTTATGTTCTCAATTTTAAAAAATTGTGAAGAATTTAGTTTTTTGGAGATGGATGTTTAATATTTGTGAGTGAGAATGCAAGCAGGAGTTTGGTACTTTAAGGCTAGGTTGAGATAGATTTCCCATTATATTATCTGTGAATATTTTGCTTGAAAATTCAAGATATAAAAATATATTATCAAAAAATTTTATATTTTTAAATACAATAGGGTGGAAATATAGTACGATGAGATAGCAATGATATATTTTATAATGGGAGGTAATCTGAAGATAAGTAGCAAATTTTATGCGATTTTGATTGGGAGTTGGAGGGTGTGAGTACTATAGCATGTAATAGTATCTCACACCCTCCAATTCTTCCTATGGCGCCGAAAAATTTTTGGTGAAATGCGACGACATTTCACCAAAAAATTTTCGGCGCCATATAGAGAACTATAGTCTGCGAGGTACTGATTCTATCTATGTACCTCGCAGACCATAGTTCTCAGCCAAAATGTCAAAAATTTCGGAAATTCGAAATAATTTTTTTTGAGAAAAAATTAACCGTTTAACATAATATTTATAATATTGCTTATTCAATTAGACGGATTAAAAATTATATGTTTTCTTTTTATTTTTTCAATTCAATTATTAGCTGACTCGAATTTGTATAAGTTTTTTAAAATAGATATCAAAAATTAAATATAAAAAAGAAACAATTAAGAATATTAAAGTAAATTCTTTATTAAGAAACAATAAAATGAAAATATAAAACTTTGTATGATTTGAGTGGATATTGAGAGTAATTTGTGAGTGTGCTTCAGCTGCATATGTAAGATTGTTCGGATTTAATTAAAAATTGTAAATTTTTTGTCTTTATATCAAACTATTCGACAAAACTTTGTATGATTTGAGTGGATATTGAGAGTAATTTGTGAGTGTGCTTCGGCTGCATCCGCTAATTCCTTCTTCATTCTTAACATTCTTTGTTTTATTTAGAACTATATTATCTTATTTCTAAAAATAATACTGAATTTTTTAAAAAATCCAAATGTAATAAATGTAAGTGTTTATTCCTTAACTTCCTTTTTGTGATTTTTTGAATTTTCTTGTTTTTGAAATTATTTGTTAATCTCTAAGATTTTTTTCGAAGCCTGGTTCAGCGCAGAGATCTTTTGTCCATTTGGGGCCTCTTTCCCAGGCCTCAAATGGAGTCAATTTCTCCCCAAAGAGTTTGAATAATGCGGAGTGTTTCCATACCCTATTATACTGGGAAACAACATTGGGGATGAACTCAAAGACGTTCACTCCAGGGTTTGTCTTGAAAAGAGTCTCCCAACTCCTTTCAATTTTTCCATTTTCCTCTGGAGAGTACGGATGAGTTTTGAAATGTTTTATATTGAATTCTTGGCAAACCGCTTCAAAATCTTTTCCAATGAATTCTGTTCCATTATCTGTGAGAATTCCATGTGGAACTAATTTGACTAAATCAATTGCGTGACGAAATACTCTGGCAGTATTTTTCATTTCTTTTGTATCGAAAACATCCCAGCAAATAATGTATCTGCTTCTGTCATCAAGAAATGAAATTAAATATTGAAGGTTACCGTTATCGTCCTTCAGAAATTTCAAATCAGTATGCCACAATTGATTAACATATTGAGCAACGTATTCATGTGGATGTTCGTCGATTTTCTGATGCCTGTGAAATGTAAACAAATGTTGTTGATTGAAAATTTTGAAAGCATCGTTGAATGTAAATCTTTCGACTTTTTCGAAATATGATTCTTTGATCCTTTTGTATCCAATGTCATATTGTGCTTTAATTTCCAAAATTTTGTATACATCTTCCTCAAAAATTTTTTTCTTTGGTCTTCCTCTTTCTTTTATTGGATAGCCGAGTAGTACGAAAATTTTTTTCAAACGTTCTTTTCCTATTGAAAGTGTTTTTGCCGTATCTTCGAGAGTTACATTTGGATTATTAATGTATTCTTGATATTTTTCTTCAATTACGTTGAGAACCTGATCGGCGGGAACGGTTGGGAGTTGAAAAGTTTTAAGATCTTCTGGGTTTTCGAGACGAACCAAGATGTCTTCCATTTTTTAATTTGTAAATTTTTCAATTTTTCAAAAGATAATTTAAAAATACTAGTTATTTGATAAAATTTGTTTATTTTAAATAAAACAATTTTTTTGAAAAAATTATATTAATGATTTGAAGGCAAAAGCCAAAAACTTAATAGATAAAACTCTTTCTATATAGATCAACTTCTATTATTAAATTTATAAAAATGGAGAGATTTTGCAAATTATTTTCTAATATATTATATTTATAATCATTTTATTTATCCCATTAATAATTGTGAACCCAGAACATCTTCCCTTCAAAGTGCCAAGCATCAACACACATTCTCACTCACAAATTTTTAAAACTCATTGCCAAAAATTTAAAAAACTCACAATTTTTTTTAAATTGATAACCCTCAAACCGTTTCCAATCAATAATTTGAGAGTCTATATGATAATGTAAAAGTTAAAACATTCAAGTATTTAAGTATTTCTTTAAAATATTAAGTTTTTTATTTTTCCAATAAAATTCTAATATCAAATATTTTTATTTAACGATTAATTTTATTTATATTTTTATAGTTTTTTTAAGAAAAAATATTGTTAGGGTTTTATGGATTTTCAATTAATATACAAGATAATTCATGAATGTATATATTTCCAAGTTTTTAAGGATGCAACACTTTACATTTGTAAACTGTCAAAAATGAAGTCACGCTATTTTTCATGCATTACAGCTTTGGAGACAACAGATGGAAAAGTTTACTTCACTGACCAACAGTTCATTATAGAACATCTCATTGACTTAGAGTCGAAATATTCTAAACTTTACAACAAACACAAAAAGTTGAAAGGAAAACAAAAACAAATGGCATATGATATTTATGAAGATGT